GACGCTCCCAGCTCCCTCATTCCCACCGGGAAAGGTCCAGGCAGCCGCACACCTTCTCCCTTGAGCCGAGACACCTGCCTGGTGCATTCGGGGTGGTGGCATCTCCCCGTCAGGAAAGCCTGTGCCCAGCCCCAAAATGGGCTAGAGGAACCACTTGTGGCTCTTCTTCCCGGATGGAGGGAAGAGGGGAGTTGCTCCGACACTTAATGACCCTCCTCATTAAAAGCGCATCCTGTATTTCTAACTTCTTTCCTTTGGCTCTTTGTTTATTCTCCCGTGAGATCTGTTATTGGGAATCACCTCCCCACGGGGATTAACTCTTGGGTGTCTCCCTTTTGCTGCTTGTCCCCAACACTGGTGACAGTCCCTGGACATCAAAAATATCATCTTTTGATGCCCTAGAGCTTAAAATAAAGCTCTGAATCGCACCTTAAACTCTGTATTTCTGAGCCACGCGTGCTTTCTTTCTGCCAGTGGTTTTGGGGACACCTCCCTCTGAGCTGGTGGCAGCTGATCCTCTAAGCGTGGTGGGCTTTGCCCCAGTGTCCTGCTTGCCCCGCTACACCGTCAGGCCTTGGGAGCTCCTTCCCATGGAGAAGGAAACCCTCAAACACCACCTTTCTCTTTGCAGCTCCACTTCTGGGACAGAGCTGGGCTCCCCTGTGCCTTGAACCCCAGGAGCAGCCGCTTCGCAGCGGGGATAACGGCTGGTTTCTGCCTTTTGGGGGAGAAAATCTCTGCTCAGCCTGCAAGACTGAGCAGCTTCTGAGGTGCTAGAGCTGGTGGGACCTTCCTCTGGTGAAGTTTCCTTCTGCGGTGGGTTGGAGAAGATGCTGGTCCTCTGCTCGACCCAGGCTGGACCTGTGGATGGAGGAGAGCTCGAGATAACAGAGCCGGACGCGTTAAACCTGGTTAGTGGCTCTGCCCCTATTTTGTGAGGGCTCCCAAATCAGTATGAACCTTTCTTCCTCCTCCCACCCTTCACCTCCATCTTCCCTCTGGAAAGGAGGCAGCGTTTGGGCTGATCGATTGCCCCGTGTCACTAGAGGTACAAGGCGCCTGTTAATCAGAGCACATGAAAGCGGGTAAGGATGGAGTTTGTCCCCGGGTTAAGAAGGGAACAACGGAGATGCAGAGATAACCCGTTCCCTGCACGCAAAGCGCTGCCGGAGAAAAGCTCCAGGCTCCCGGGAATGGCTTCAAACCCGGCTGTCCCCCCACCCTGGCGTGGCCATGGGCAAGGATTTTCCATGGGGGGAAGGAAAAGAGAGGGGAGGTGGGGAGCAACCCTGGAGACATGTCCCCACAGAGCCGGGGGCCACTGGGTCCCACAAGCACTGGCAGGGTGAGCCAAAAGCCTGCGGGGTTTCGGGTGCTCCTCAAACCCAGGCTCGGCAGCAGGATGCGGGCTGGACAGCCAGGATGCATCCAGGGCTGGCCGTCACCTGTGTGTCCCCAAAGCTGGTGCTGGATCTGCTGGTGACAGGATAGATCTGGGGGGGTTACACCACGGGATGGGCTCTCATATCCCCCCATAGACCCCCCACTAATTGGCCCCATAATAAGGGGTCCCAGTTGACCGCTCCGGTCTCACACCCCTAAAATCAGCTCCCTGAACCCCATCAGGGTAGGTAAAGCAGGGCTGGTGCTGACCCCCCCGGCACCGGGG